TAGAGATAGCTGTGGGTTTACAGATCTCTTTGTGATCCTTCTTCTAACCACACCAGGAATTCAGCCTCAGCCTGGAGGAGGGCCTGCTCCATCACTGCCTCCCTTTGGAACTGCTGGATTGCCTCTCCTGTTGCCATGGTGATCCCTATGGCTACCCAGGATACCCATTGCTGCTCCAGAATTCTCTACTTGAGCAGGGCAGCTCTCCCCTCGGCCTGTTTAGAACATCTCCCTTTTTACTATGGTGTGCTTGAGATCTGCAAAACCCAACACTGGCCTGGCCATCCAGGTGAGTCAGGATGGAAAGGGACTCCCCGAGACACTGGGCAAAGAATCCGAAGTCAGGCCATCCCATCCCAGCCAAAGAGCTGGACACCACACTCCAACTCAGCCACCAAGCTCCCCGCCCCCGACGCTGAACAAGGTCTTTCAACTCTGCACATGGGGACCTAGGGAGGGAGTGTCCCCCAGAAGGGGAAGAAGTAAAGAGAGTCTTGACAGAAGGGGGGTAGGCGAAAAGAAAGAGGACTGGCGATTTGCTGACACCCTTCTTCTCCAAGTGGCTCTGACATCCCCACCTGCAGTCAGTAGGTCAGGTCAGGCAGAGGAGGCAGCCTTCTTTGGCTCCCCTTTGGCTCAGGAGGTCCCTAAGTACACTTGCCTTCCTACTAGTCCCTGCTAAATCACCAGGAAGGCACTGGGCTCAGAGCTGGTCAATCTAGAAGCCCACATGCCTAGTAGCTACCCAAAGGGATAGCGATAAGAACTGTCAGGGTTTGGGAAAGACACAGCCCAATCCAGCATTGACAGGGGAGCTGTGAGAAGCCAGGCCAGGGGCTGTGAACTGTGTCCCCCGGGGAATCCAGGTGAAGCACTCAGACTCTTAGCCCCAGACAGAGTAGGAGAAGCATAGGTAAGCCAAGACACCGCTCTGGGTACATCAGCACTAAGGGAAGCCCAGGTTTGTGTCTAGTCAACTCTAACCAGCAGAGCCCTGTTTCTGTGTCCTCACACCCTGGAATGAGAAAGGAACTTTTAGAAGTAGCAAGGCCCTTAGCCGGGCAGTGGTGGCACACGCCTTTAATCCCAGTACTCAGGAGGCAGAGGCAGGCGGATCTCTGTGAGTTCGAGGCCAGCCTGGTCTACAGAGCAAGATGCAGGACAGGCACCAAGACTACACAGAGAAACCCTGTCTCGAAAAACCAAAAAAAATAAAAATAAAAAAGTGGCAAGGCCCGTAGCTAGTGCTGCAGCAGCCTCTGCTGGCCACCTTTGCCTTCCACACCTTGCCTAGATGAAGAGGCCAGGAGCCCTCCATCCCATCATGTTTGAGATGCTCCGGCTGACACCTGTGGGCTCTGAGTAATTAGCAATGCTATGCATTCACTCTTAGAAGTACCTGGGTTCACACATGGCTCAGTAGCCTTCAATCACAGCTAAGTTCTGGGCCCCAGAAAGCCTTCAAGAACCCAGAGAGATAGGCTGAGCATTAAGATCTCTGACACCAGAGGTAGAGCATCTCTCTCTCTCTCTCTCTATCAGCAACACAAGAGATATAAATAGCTCAGAGTCCTCGTCCCGGGCCAGGACTAAGGCTTCTTGACAGCCCCACCTTGGAGAAGTGGGAAAGCAGATGTCGTGTAGGAGGGAGGAAGACTTGAAGAAGAGCAGAAAGAGAGAAAGTAGAAAGAATGAGACTGATGCAGCCAGAGGGCAGGAAGCACCCAAGGGTGTGACATGCTATTGATACATGTGTCCAGCAGATGGCAACATGGCGCAGCCTGCGTCAGCCCGTTGAAGGGACTGCCTGAGCCGGCATCTGGCTCCCGGCCTCCTGCAGAGTCTCTCCTTTTATTTGGTTCTTGGTCCACTTTCCCTCAGATGAGTCCTTAGGCTAAACTACAAAGTCACTAAAGAAGACATCTCAAGCCCCATGCCTTCCAGCCCCAGGAGGGAGAAGGTGGAAGAACGGAGGGCCAGGCCTGCCAGCTCCGAGGCAGCAGGATTCCTGGAGCCCTCTGTCTTGCCTCAGTGCCTGGGAACCCTTTTTCCCTCCCTTGCCTTGGTCAGGGACTCTGAGCACAGAAGTCTATATAGACTGGTGTGATTTGGGGGAGTGTCCGCATATTCTGTCATCAGGAATTGCAGTATTGAGGAACAGCGGCCACACTCCTACTTCGTAGAACTCTACCAGACAGGTTTCCTGCACTGCCACCTTCTTCTGAGTCCCTTCCCCCAGTGACCCGACAAAGGGAAGTCCCCGAAGGCACCCCCTGCCTACACAAGCATATAACTCTAGCCTGGGTGGCTGTCCTAGCGCCCCAGTCCCAGACCACCCAGTCACTATCCCCCCAAGACTCCCTAGGCTGGGGAAAAGATGGAGTCTTATTTTCCCCAGGCAGGATGGGATCATTAAGAAAATAGATAATCAAGATCTCCAAATCCCCAGAAGATTTAATGCCTTTTTCAAAGGCAGTCAGCCACATCTGCATTCATTCATGAAACAGCCACTAAGCCTGCAACTTCCCACTTGTTGGTTGGTTGGTTGGTTGGTTGGTTGGTTGGTTGGTTGGTTGGTTGGTTGGTTCTGAGAAAGAGTCTTGCTTGTATTGAAGGTTGATCTCAAATTCACAATGTTAGCCCCTGCTGGCCTCAAACTCCTAATGATCCTCCTGCCTCAGCCTCCCAAACTGCAGAGATTACAAGCATAGGCCACCACACCCAGGTTGCCAGCCTGCTCTTTCTTGCCCAGTTCTTCCTTACAAAGAAATCTTACCCTAGCCTCCAGTTGAATTCAACAAATATTTATTAAATGTCTTGAATAGGCCGGGTTTTGTGCTGGCTGCTGGGGATTGTGGCCTCTGTCTTTAATAAACTCCTAAATCCAGCAGGCAGAGGAAAACACGAAGTCCACTGTACTACAGAGACCTTTACTAGAGTCGGGAGTACAGCTCATCATGAGAGTGAGGCCCTGCTGCCGCTGTGACAGCAGCGAGGGACCAGGAGACTCTCTAGGAAGGAAATGACATTTGAGCAGGACACCAAAGGCCAAGGAAGGAGAGGGAGGAGGGATAGGGGAAGTACAGGCCTGGAAGTGATGCTCAGCCACAGTGTGCAGTCCAGGGAGTGTCAGGAGGAGATGGGAAGTCAGGAGGCCTGGAAGGCTCTAGAGAGAAGGCTGCGGACACTGGATGTGTGCAGTACCTAAGGGCTCCATCGGGAATCTGTTGTCCACAGGACAGTCCTGACCTCGGCCATCCCTGTCAGTGTCAGCTGGCATGCATCTTCCTCTCTGCTCTCACAAAAAGCCAACACCCCCTTCCTCTGGGCCTGGCAAAGGCACCCCATAAATATCTGATTGGAAAGTTCCACGTGCTAACACGACAGTTATCTGACCCACGGCACACAGGACCATCGGTTAGCCTAGCTAACTAGATCTAAGGAGCGGGAGAGCAAAGCTCTGAATGCACTCTGGTCTCCTCACCCCGCCCCCGGCCCCGCCCCTGCCCCCGCCCCCGGAGTTCCCACCCAGCTGGTTATGAGCCCAAGGACCTCACCATCTCCAAATGGGATTAAAAAGTCCCATGAAGCTCGGAGGAGACTCGGTCAGAAAGCAGATCCTGTGCCAGGAACATCGAAAATTTCTTAAGTAGAACTGGTTGACAGGGTACCCCCACTACCCACCAGGTAGCTGCTTGAACAGTGTCTGAGTCACACTTTCTCTTTAATTCACAAGGACACTTCCCACACTGTGACTCAGAAGCTAAGTGCTGGCCTGCACGGTGGCTCCTGCCTGTAATCTTAGCACGTGGGGTAGAAGCAAGAGGATCAGGGGTTCAAGGTCATCCTTGGCTATACGGCAAGTTCAAGGCCAGGTGAAGGCCCCTGTGGCCAAGCCTGAGAACTTGAGTTCCATGCCCTGGACCCACATGGTGGAGGGAGAGAACTGATTCCCAGAAGTTATCCTCTGACCATGCATATGCTTACACACACTCTCACACACACCATAAAATTTTGTTTTAAAAACACTGATCAAATTAGGAGCAGGAGAGGCAGGCCATAGTGGCAAATGCCCTTAATCCCAGCACTGGGGAGGCAGATCTCTGTGTTCCAGGTGAGCCTGGTCTCCAAAGCAAGTCCCAAGACAGTTGGGGCTACACAGAGAGATCCTGTTCTCTGAAAAATATATATATATATACAAAACCAAAAAACAAATTAGGGGCAGGCGATATCACCAGGCAGATAGCATTTGCTGCAAAGGACTGACGATCAGGTTTGACCCCTGGAGCCCACATAATGGTGGAAGGAGAAAACCAACTCAACAAAGCTGCCCTCTGGCCTCCACACATGTGCCTTGGCATGCATGTTCCACATCATACACACATGCACGATAATGATAAATAAAATTTAAGTTTTAAAAGCATTGATTAAACTCTGGCACGGTTGGAGGTTACACAGAACATACTCTGACCAAGGCCCCCTGAGCTGGCAGCCTTGCTGGCTCACAATGGAGTCACAAAAGCATTAGCTCGGCTGGAAAGTGCTGCTAAAAAAGTTAGTCCATTTTTACAAGCCTTGGGAACGGATAATTCAGACAAATGGTGAAGCCACGGGGAAAGACCATTGAAAATGGCTAGTGTTGCTCCAGAATGAAACACACATGTGTCCCAAGAGGGATGACAGAGTGGGAAGTGTTCCGATGTGGGAGGAGGGGGAGGTGGCACTACACAGGAACAGGCACTGGGGTCGGTGTGAGGACTCCCGGCTGGAGGCCCTCTCCAACTCTGTGTCTGCGACTCTGTGTCTGCTATTAACACTGTGACCCCGTGCATCAGCTGGGGACACTGGGAGCTAGAAAAGAAGAAATGCTGTAGATTTCATAGGTGGGAAAGGACGAACGAACAGGGGTCTGCTGTCGTCTTCCAGCCCCACGGTTCCTATTTTGTGATTGCAGGTTCTGAAAAGGAGCCAGCCACGGGCAAACCTGCACAGCTGGCCGAATGCAGCTCAACCTTCTGTCCCAGGACACCTGGTGGGTGTGCAGGCTGGGCTGGATCGGAACTAAGGACAAGAAAGGCATTGAGGGGTCAGAGCTTAAGTATGCTGCTGTACACCCTCTCTCTCTCTCTCTCTCTCTCTCACACACACACACACACACACACACACACACACACACTGGACAATCACACACATGCATGCATATTTCACAATATATACACACATGCTCACACCCACCCATGCACACTGCAGGACAGTCACATACACACATATGCATGCATACTTCACTTCACACACACACACACACACACACACACACACACACGCACGCACGCACGCACGCATACGTAGTTCACTGGATATTCACATGCACAGAACAACAGAGACTCACAGTTGGACTTGAGGTTGGTAACAGAGAGAAGACTCAGCAATCTTAAGGTCCGATTATTTCCACAGTCTCCCATTCCCCTAAATGCTGATGGTAACGGGCTATTGCTGGGGACGCAGCTGCCTCCTGCTCCTCTCCCTAGGCCAGTACAGTGGTCTTCACATGTAGAGGAGGTCCATGACAACCTAAGATACTAACCTCAGAGCCAATGCCTATGTGTCACTCAGGAGCTGGAGAACAGAGGACAGCCATCTTGTATGCTCTGTGACCATGGGTGGCTGTCCTCTGGCCATCTCTACCTGACATCCACCTCTTCAACCCTTCTTCATTCCCAAAGTTCCTTTCCTCTCACTGTATGCTCCCCTCCCTTTAATGCTGGCAGAGAAGGACACAGGTTTTTGTCCAGGCCCCATCGACCCCTCATTCCCAAGCCCCTACTACAACTGCAGCTGCCCACATCCTGGACATAAAAGCCTAGAGCATCCGGCTTGGTCTGCTGGATTCTCTCACACTCACCCTGTTGTCTGCCTACTCCACTTGACACCCACCAGTCGAAAATGCCCCCTTCTTTACCAGCTAAAAGCCGTCTGTCCTTTCCCAGTCTCCCTTGAACCTTAGACACATGGCCTTCCACTTGGTCTGATACCTGACCACAAAAATCAGCCCACAGACCCATCTTTCCTTTCTGTCCCCATGGAGCTAGAAAGGCCTCTTCAAGGTCCTGGAGGGTAGGCTTGCAACTTGGATGAAAGCCGGGAGCAAAACGCCTGCGGTGGCTCTCCCTAGTTATTCTGTTTCTCGACATTCTTCTTTCTCTACCCCTTAGGAGACATGGACACCACGGGGCCTACCTCGGGCCTATTGAAAGGGAGTCCCCCTTGACTCTCCGGGGGTCCTCTGTCAGCCATCTTTACTGTAAGTCACCCATTCCCAACAGCCACAACATTCAAAGCCAGAAGGAAGAACAAAACAATCCTGAAATGTTTGAGAACAACTGCTTTTGCAGTTTGGGGTGTATACAGCTCAGTTTTCAGGGCGATTTCCTAGGGTGCACCAAGCTCTGGGTTACATTGGCTGAATAAATGGGGTGTGGTGGTGCGTGCCTGTAATCCCATCACTTGGGAGGTGGAAGCAGGAAGATCAGAAATTCAAGGCTATCTTTAGCTATGTAGGTAATTCTCGGCTAACCTGAGCTACATAAGACTCTCTCAAAAGAAAATGAAAAAGCGAAGGAGGAAGGATGGGAGGGAGGGAGGAAAGGAGGAAGACTGCCTTTGCCATGGACCCCTAAATGCTGAGAGCCACCCCCATTCCACTCCAACCCTTCCCCTCAAGCTCTCACACTGATCTAGTCTCAAAGAAATTAACGCTGGGACCTGTCTGGACATAACACCCATGCCTTCCTCTCCCCTTGGTGAGAGGAACAGCAGAAAGCTGCCCACGGGTAGGAGAGCTAAGATGGTCCTTAGTTCTTTTCCCTACTCTAGACATTCTCTCTCCTGGGGACAGAAGAGCCTACCTGCTTGATGACTCCTCCAATTCCATCCAGAGACAGCCCCTGGCTGTCCCCATGGGGCTTGAGGACAGTGCCCCCAGTGTTCAGGTAAAGTTAAGTACTCAAATCAAGCCCCAACTCGGGCCACCAATGGCAGCACCGTCTAGGAAAATCACACCCATTTAAGAGACTGTTACACACTTAACTGTATGCCAAGCCCAACGCTAAGTCCTTAGTTCAGATCTCCTCAGGAACCCAGAAAGGGGTCTGATTTGCTGATTTTGCAAGTAATGAGATGGTAGCTCAGACAAGTCACTTTCCAGTTGACACTGGCAAGTGTTTATTCCAGGAAACCGAAAACACACATACACACACACACACACACACACACACACACACACACACACACACGCAAACACACACACAAACACACACACACACACACACAAACACACACATACACAAACACACACACACACACACACACACACATACACACTCTTCCCCTATGTAACCCCAGCAGTGACCCCTCTGACCGAGTGAACTTCCCAGCAGACGCAGCAGCAGACGCAGCAGCAGCAGCAGCAGCAGCAGCAGCAGCAGCAGCAGCAGCAGCCTGGGGCTGCTCTCCAGGAGCTGGAAGAGGAGGAAATCGCCCCGACAGATGTTAAATACCGCCTGCAGCTGCTTGAGGAGGCTCCATTGCAGAGAGAGAGTTCAAGTGTACACAACCAGTTCTACAAGCCTGCATGGGTCCCGGTCAGCAAGACTCACAGAGAATGGTTCAAGCCCTGGAAGATGGGCAATGTGGTACATGGGCACGAGTCCTCCCATTCAGGTGAGAATCAATGGGGGGCGGGGGTTAAGAGGGAGCGGAGAACGACATTGGACATAAAGCAATATCTGAACCCTCTGTTCCCAGACACCTTGTTTAGTCCTATCCAGGAGCATCCCTCTCCCCCCGACAGATCCCAGGGGTGGAAGACAGTGAAGGGCCAAGGCTTGATTCTCAGTAGCCCTTCAGGCTTTGTCTGGCTACAAGTCAGCCGGGATCTCTCTGGAGGGTGCCATGCTTCCTACCTCACCGCAGCCTTCCATCCTTCATCCTTCCATCCTTCCTCCTTCGGCTGGGCCTGATGGCAGCCCTGCAGGCCAGGTTTTCAAAACGAAGGGATGGATTGAGGCTGGGCTGTAGCTTAGTCCACAGAGTGTCTGACTAGCATGCATGAAGCCCTGGGTTTGAGCTCCATTATTGCATAAAGCAGGCATGGTGAGACACACCCATAATCCCAAGGTAGAAGCCAGGAAGTCAGAAGTTCGAGGCCATCCTCAGTTCCATACATAACGCTTCCAGGTCACATTCAGGGCAGAAGAATAGCACCAAGAGGACATCTGAACCACGTGGAGCACATCAACCAGGACCAGACCAACACCCAAGCCCCAGTGTGGAGTCAAGTTCTCTCACCTGGTCTAGACAAGAGCAGTCAAGGGATCACGTGAGTAGCCAGAACTGAGAGCAAGCCTGTCAGCAGGAGGCAGGGCTGTGTGGGTGCGAGAAGGGCAGGGAGGGGCCTATTACCCAAGGGTCTGGTAATATTAGAAGTCTGCCATCTGTCACCTCAGAGAGACAGTCGTCAAACCGCAGAGCAAAGGGCTCGTTCTTCGTGAATCTTGGGACTTCCCTCTAGCTCAGCTTTAACTTAGACTTTTGACTTCCCCTGAGATTTGAGCAAGGGGCAAACTGGTACGGGAGTGGGGGTCCTAAATCCAGGGTCATCCCTGTCCCCTGCACATTCATGGGAGACATAAAGTCCCCATTGCAAGATAGGAAGGCCCAGGTTTATCAATCTCACTAAAGTACAAAGTATCTTCGTCCTGCCCTCTCTGGCCCCAGAAAGCCCTCTCACTCATCCCTACCCAGTTAGGAAGCCCAGCTTGAACCCAGAGACACTACTGTGTGCTTTACAAATGGCCCACCGCTGTAGGCTGAAGAGGTGACATGCTTCCCAAAGTGACCCACGCATCAGCCTACCTAGTGACTCAGAAAGCTATATACCCTGCCAGCAGATACATGTCCAAGCTTCTTTTCACAGAGCCTCCATTCTCTAAGCTGCAGCCCCCAGCTGCCTGTGAGGAGGTTTTTAGTGCCCTCCCTACGGTCCTATCCTGTGGCGGCAGGTGTCTCATCTTCTCTGCTAAGACACAGCATGATAACAGAGGGATATGAAAAAGAAACCGATAAAATAAATTTAAATTTTCCTTTCCAGAGAAGCAATACAGAAATTTTCATTTGAAAGTACCCGAAAATACATTGTTTCATTTAGGCAAACCCACCAATGAAAGGCAAGGAGGCAAGCCCATGCCACAGGGCCCTTCTGCGTAGGTCACCTGGGTGGGCTCAGAGGGAGAGGTCACCAGCAATGGAATCTTTTGTTCCCTATGCAGCCAACCCACACAGCGTATGGCGAGGGAAATGGCACCTGGCTGGCCCACGACCCACGCACATCAGGAGCCGAGCCAGACAAAGCAGGGGACAGCCATTACGGGGACAAAGAGAGCTGCCAAGTTTGATGAAGCCACAGCATCCAGGGTAAAGTGCCCAAGTGTCCCTGTCAAGAGGTAACTAGGGCAGGGGTGTGGCCTACTTGGCCGAGTGCTGCCTTAACACGCATGAAACCCCAGGTTTGATTTCCAGCACCTTATAAACTGGGGGTAGTGGTTCATGTCTATAGTCTCAGTGCTTGGAATGTGGAAGGAAGAGGGTCGGAAGTTCAAGGTCATCCTTGGCTATATATTGGCTTGCTCAAGCTACATGATACCCTGTTTAGAAAAAAAAGGTCAGAAGGTCCCAATCCCTCCTTCAGGGAAAAGAGAACAATAGAGCCTGTCACCACTTTAATTATCTTGGGAAATCCAGAAATATGGCTTTCCCTACTCCACAACCACTCCCAGACTCTGAGCACTTCCTGCTGCCGAAGCACAAGACAGTTAAAGCTGCCGTTCTTTCCCAGATGTCCTGTCTGCCACCTCTCAAGCTCCTGCCGAGAAGAGTCAAGAGTAAGTGCCCCCCCAACACACCTGGAATCTTCCAAGCCAAATTCCAAACAGACCTGACCGGCAGGCACTTCTTCCAAGACTGGAGGGCTCAGCCCCAAGGGCGCTATGGAAGCCATGAAAAACCCCTGGTAGGAACTGCAGAGCAGTTTATCTTAGAAAAACAAACCAAACAAAGCAACCCCCCTTTTGTACTATTATTTTATTTTCTGTGTATGGGTGTTTTGCCTGCATTCACCTCTGTGCACCATAAACATACCTGGTGCCTGTGGAGACCAGAAGAGGGCATCAGATCCCCAGGAACTGGAGTTCCAGATGGTTGTGAGCTGGCCACCAGTGCTCTTAACCACTGAGCCACCTCGTAGTGGGTGACTTTACCCATTGAGCCAGTGTCTCCCCTGCCTTCAGAGAGATTTTGAACAAGAATAGTTCCCAACCCTGCTTACAAAGCAGTAAGGATTCCATTTTTATGTCTATTATACTATTATTATTGTTATTACATGCACGTGTATATGTCTGTGTCTGGATGCGGGTATGTACATTTGAATGCAGGTGACCTCAAGCCAGAGACGTCTGGTCCCCTGGAACTGGAGTTAGAGATGGTTATGTGAGCTATTCAACTTGGGTGCTGGGAGCCCAGCTCATGTCCTCTGCAAAAGCAGTATGTGTTCTCAACCACTGAGCCATCTCTCCAGCCCCTAGAGATTCCATTCTTACTTGAGGCAGAACAAAATCACATTCTTTGTGACTCCTTAACTGACAAACGGCTCAGACTGTGATATGCAGAGGACGGGACTTAGTCCTTTATCAGCTGACTGCTCTGTTCCCTCCCCATGTTCCGGGTTCACAGGTGCCATTTGAGGATCAAGTCAACCCCAGGCTCACCTACATGCCCTTGTTTACTCAAAGAGCGAAGCTGTACAAGTCCAAGGCCAATGGCATCAAGCATGAGACAAATACTTCCTCAGCTGAGCAGGGAAAATCCAACAGGTATGAGGGTGAGACCAGTCATTCCCAGGCACAGTACCTTAGTCTGCACCGGCAACCGAGGCCTGTGTTAGTCAAAGGACAGACGTGACTCGGCTCCAGCTTGGACCCATAATCTCTTTGCCTGCTTTCCCGGGCCAGCTCCAGAATTTCAGCCTCAAAACCAGAACATGTGGAAAACCAGACCGCCTGAGTAACTTCTGGGAAAACCCCACGGAAGCCGTGCCTGTAATCCCAGCACGCAGCCGAGATAAGACTGATGTAAGTTCCAGGCCAGCTTGGGCTGTAGTGTGAGACCCTGTCACACATGTCCCAGGCATGATGGTACACAACTCTAATCACAGCACTTGGGAGGTGGAGGTGGAAGGATCCCTGTACTACTCAAGGAGTTTGAGGATAGCCTGGGCTACATGAGACCATGTCAAAGAAAGAGAAAGAAAGAAAGAAAGAAAGAAAGAAAGAAAGAAAGAAAGGAAGGAAGGAAGGAAGGAAGGAAGGAAGGAAGGAAGGAAGGAAGGAAGGAAGGAAGGAAGAAAGAAAGAAAGAAAGAAAGAAAGAAAAGAAAGAAAGAAAGAAAGAAAGAAAGAAAGAAAGAAAGAAAGAAGGAAGAGAAAGAAGGAAGAGACAGAGAGAGAAAGAAAGAAAGAAGAGAGAGAGAAAGAAAGAAAGAAGAGAGAGAAAGAAAGAGAGAGAGAGAAAGAAAGAAAGAGAAAGAGAGAGAGAGAGAGAGAGAAGAAAAGAAAGAAAGAAAGAAAGAAAGAAAGAAAGAAAGAAAGAAAGAAAGAAAGAAAGAAAGAAAGAAAGAAAGAAAGAAAGAAAGAAAAACAAGCAAACAAATAAAACAACCCCAAAGATTTCTAAGATGCCCTCCTCATCCTAGACTCAGCTCTGGGACCAGTTGCGGCCATTCTTCCCACCGTCCATGTGACGTCTCACTGCACTCACTGCAGGGTAAGGGTGAGTCATCTTTGGGAAGGAATGCTGTTCCTTGTGTCCCAGAAGGGCAAGTGTGTTCCGGAAGACCTGAGAGGAAAGGTCAGTAACTTCTCTAATCCATGAGGCAATGGACAAGCATCCAGGCTTCTCACGAAAGCACCACGGATGACTTACATTCTGCTCGAGCCACCTGAGGGGCTGCTCCTGACTTTTCTTTTTAAACCGAGATAGACTGCACACACTGTAAGAGTCGCCCTTTGCACATGTACAATTCCGTGGTTGCCTGTATTGTTCACTGATTAAATCCATGTGGTGGTGGCACACACTTACAATTCCAGTGTTTTGGAGACTGAGGCAGGAGGATTGCTGGGACTTCAAGGCCAGCCGGAGCCATATAGTGAAACCCTGTCTCAAACAAAACAAAATTAAATTAAAAAAAAATTAAGCCTAGACCTGAGAGTAGAGGAGAAGGCACAGGATGCAGTCGAGGACAAAAAGTTCTGAATTTTATTAAAAGGGAGAGACTGGGTGAAATGGCCGAGAGGGTGAAAGTGCCTTGCTGAGCAAGCCTGCTGACCGAAGTTTAGTCCCTGGAACCCATGGTGGAGGGAGAGACCTGATGTCCCAGAGTTGTCCTCTCCTCTCCATGTGTATACATGGCATGTCCATACCTGGATACATACACACACACACACACACCATACACATGCAAACACATTTTTAAATGTCTTCCAGGTACAGAAAGGTCCCCCATACCCAAGAAAGATTTCAATCAAAATCTAACTATTAGGTAACTGTCTTGAAAATATGATCTTAGGTGTAGTGGGGAAGTAAGGTATAGGTAGAAGGTAAGCCTCCTTATCCTTGGAACTACTCAAGACACACTTTTTTTTTTTTTTTTAAATTGAGATAGGGTCTCTCTACATAGCCCTGGAACATAGCTGTTCTGGATATGTAGACTAAACCAGCCTCAAACTCAAAGAGATCCACCTGCTTCTGTGGGATTAAAAGCATGCACCACCATACCCAAGTGTATGCAGACCAGGACACTACGAGCCTCAACTGAGAAAAGGCATGCCACACTGCCCTCTCGTGACCAGCCTAGGGAATGACAGCCAGCTGCAAGCTAGGCAGGCTACAAGCTAGGGATCTCTGGAGAAAGGCACAGAAACCCTATACATCTTAATTAAGGCCAACTAAGCACAAAGCCTACCCGGAACAGAATCTTTATTCTCTTCCTACACTTCAGTCTCTGCTTTAGAACATAATAAACTCCTCTGTGGTGAGGGAAAAAAGATTAAAGATTTCTAAAGCACCTGGGTCTAAGACAAACATTGTCCTTGAGAAACTGTGAGACCTTTAAAACTGCAGTTAGAACATGAACCAGTGTATCTAGAAGACCACTGCACAAACGGGCTGTGAAGATGGACTAGGACCTGAATGCGCTCACCACCACCTGGATCCAAGGCAAGCAGCTGGCTTGCTTCCTGAAGAAGAGCCTCAGAAGCCTGGGTCTAGACCCTGGATTCCTTGGAGGCATTTTAAAGGCTTTTAAAACAAATTTTAAAATTATATTTTTATTTCCTTTTTGTGTGTAGGCAAGTGGATGCATGCCATGGTATGTCTATGGAGGTGTGTCTGTGGAGGTGTGTCTAGGGAGGTGTATCTATGGAGGTATGTCTATGGAGGTATGTCTATGGAGGTGTGTGTATGGAGGTGTATGTATGGAGGTGTGTGTATGGAGGTGTGTGAATGAAGGTGTGTCTATGGAGGTGTGTCTATGGAGGGTGTGTATGGAGGTGTGTCTATGGAAGTGTGTATGGAGGTGTGTGTATGGAGGTGTGTATGGAGGTGTATGTATGGAGGTGTGTCTATGGAGGTGTGTCTATGGAGAGTGTGTATGGAGGTGTATCTATGGAGGTGTGTCTATGGAGGGTGTCTATGGAGGTATGTCTATGGAGATGTGTCTATGGAGGGTGTGTTTATGGAGGATGTCTATGGAGGTGTGTCTATGGAGGGTGTGTATGGAGGTGTGTCTATGGAGGTGTGTCTATGGAGGTGTGTCTATGGAGATGTGTCTATGGAGGGTGTGTCTACGGAGGGTGTGTATGGAGGTGTGTCTATGGAGGGTGTGTCTACGGAGGGTGTGTATGAAGGTGTGTCTATGGAGGGTGTGTCTACGGAGGGTGTGTATGAAGGTGTGTCTATGGAGGTGTGTCTATGAAGGGTGTGTATGGAGGTGTGTCTATGGAGGTGTGTATGGAGGTGTGTGTATGGAGGTGTGTGTATGGGGGTATGTCTATGGAGGGTGTCTATAGAGGTATGTCTATGGAGGTATGTCTATGGAGGTGTGTCTATGGAGGTGTGTCTATGGGGGTGTGTCTATGGAGGGTGTCTATGGAGGTGTGTCTATGGAGGGTGTGTATGGAGGTGTGTCTATGAAGGGTGTGTATGAAGGTGTGTCTATGGAGGTGTGTCTATGGAGGTATGTCTATGGAGGGTGTCTATGGAGGTGTGTTTGGAGGGTGTCTATGGAGGTGTGTCTATGGAGGTGTGTCTATTGAGGTGTGTCTATGGAGGTGTGTCTATTGAGGTGTGTCTATGAAAGTATGTCTATAGAGGGTGTGTCTATGGAGGTGTGTCTATGGAGGTGTGTCTGTGTCTATGGAGGTATGTCTATGGAGGTCTGAGGACAACTTTCAGGAGTCAGTTCTTTCCCTCTGCCATGTGGGACCTGGGGACAGAACTCGAGTCATCAGACTTGGCAGCAAGTGCCTTTATCACTGAGGCATCTTCCTATCCCTAAAGGTCTTTTCTTTTTTCGGGGTAGAGGACAATTTTAGAGTTCGATATCTGGTTGAGACAGTCTACCCAGTGCCTCTGATCTTAAGATCTTATGTAACTACCGGACATTACCAATGAGAGATGGAACACTGGCAATTTCTATGAACTAAAGTGTAGGCCTTACTTAGATTTACCAGCTTTCCCATTAATGACCTGTTTTGACTTCTTTTGTTTTGTTTGTTTGTTTTAAGACAGGGTTTCATGTAGCCCCAGGCCGACCTCCAACTTCAAGGAAACCATGAACTTCTGATCCTCCTGCCTACATCTCCCAAGTGATGGGATTATAGGCACACACAGTGTCTGGTTTATGGCACACACAGTGTCTGGTTTATGCGGTGCTTGGGATTGAACACAGGGCACTCTACCAACTGAAAACAATAACCCCTCGGGTTTTCAGAGGACCAGATGAGCAAGAGTGCTGGAGAGAACAAAAAGAGCAGCTTCTGGCCCCAACGGCCACACTTGAATTTGTAGGATTTTCCATCTCACAAATACAGATTATATACGTAATCAATTTCTTCTTCTTCTTCTTCTTCTTCTTCTTCTTCTTCTTCTTCTTCTTCTTCTTCTTCTTCTTCTTCTTCTTCTTCGTCTTCTTCTTCTTCTTTTGAGACCGAGTCTTACGTAACCCAGACTGGCCTCCAGCTCACTATGAATCCGATGATGACCTTGAACTCCTTCCTGATGCCCCTGCCTCAGCCTCCTGAATACTGGGGTGCCAGGATGCTGGCTGTGGAGATTTACAGGTATAATCTTCTTGCAGAAGTAACAGAACTCTAAGGACAGCACAGACGCTGTGAGAAGCCTGAACTAAGCTCCCATCAGGGCCCAGGGTCAGGGAAGGGCCTCACTCATTCCTTGGAGGTAGAGTGATAACTTTTTTTTTAAAGAGAGGGTACTGAAACTGGCTTTGAACTCCTGATCTTCCTGCCTCCATTTCCCAAATTCTGGGATTACAAACAAGTCACCATGCCCAGCTTTTGTCTCCAATGTTTTTTTTTCATAATCATTTTATTGATTCTTTGGGAATTTCACATCATGTATACCACTAATTTCCCAGTCCTTCTATACCTACACTCCATCCTTGTAACTTCCCCCTGAAAGAAAATAAAAAATTAAAATTAAAAAACAAAACAAACAACAAAGTCAAGTGCCCGATGAAGTGATTATTTATTTATATTGTTCTATTATTAAATAAAGCTTGGGAGTCAGATATTGGGATAGAAACATGATAGATCCAAAGAGGACAGAGGAATGATCAGCTGACCCTGCCTCTCCACATTTCCAGATTGAAGAGATCACACATCTTTCTAAGCCCTCCCTACTACTTCCTGTGCCCTCTTATCTCAGTCCTCCAAAACCTCTATGGCTAATTCTGGTCAGCTGAATGCTGACTCGGCCCCCTGATTCAAGGTTT